GTAGCTATAGCAGATAGGATGGCCAGTAGCTCAGCTTTGTATGATGAAGGCCAGTTGAGGATTTTGGCAGAGAAGCTGTTGCAACTAATTTTGATTTTTTTCTATTTATTTTAATATTATTAATATTATAAAATTCATTTGCTAGTATTAAAATATTGTTAAGGTTCTTTTTTGATCTTGCAAGCCATGTTGTGTTATTTGCATATACAAGTACTACTTGTCTTCAAAGTATTTTTTTGGTGCTGCCTAATCATATATCTTCAGGTTAGTTTACTTCTACTACAGTGCAAGCAACCTTAAATCAGCAAGTCCTAATATATGCGGCCAAATTTTAAATCAGGTCAGAGCAGATCGGAGCTAATAAAATTGCAGAAAATTAAACAATTAAAAAAAAACAGATTATCACATTTGTGTTAGAGATTGGAACTGTTTAAAGTTTCTTAATCGTTTAATCATTTAACTGTATTAATGTATTAACCATTTAACTTAGTCAGCATAAAATGTTCTGGCCCATAATTCGCATTTAAACAAAGGAAAAACAAAATAATTACATCGAATATAATGTATAATAATACGTATGATGCTTTTAATATATTTATACAATAGAATTTTTATTGAGCTTTGCAAAATAGTAACCCTATAATTAATTTTTTTATGATTAAATGATTGTAATTGCTGAAGCTAATCAATTTATCATAAATCTGAATTTGTATCAAACCCAGTTTTTATGTAAATTGGTCGGTTTTAGCAATTACAATCATTTAATCATAAAAAATTAATTATAGAGTTACACAATTTTGCAAAGTGAAATAGGTTTTAAGATTTCAATCGCATTATAATTTTAAGAACACTCAATTATATATACATGCTAAAATATCAAGAACTATCATATTCGATCATGTTCAGAAGTTTTTATTTAAAAAATATTTATAATACTAACAATGCTATTATAATTTCAGTTATAAAATATGTCATACTTATATTGATAAACAACACATATTATAAATATTAATTTATGTTGTAGCAATTTTTATAATGAATATTTTATTTATTCCAATTCCCAATAACAACTGAAAGTATTTCATCAAACATTCTAGCCTTTTAGACTTTTTAACAATAAACGTTTTATATTTTTCCTTTAATCCCAACTCCAATTAAAATTTATTTAAGATAGACGTATCTAAATAGAAACTTAATTTATTAAAGAGCAAAAGGTGAAAAAACAATAAAAAATTAAGTATTGCAGTAACAATACTAGATAAAGTTGTCACCTATTTGTTAAATTCCAATGCGTCAATCTCATTTAAAATTGTATCTGGAACACGGCGGTGTGACTGATATTTTTTCACAGCATATTCTGCAGGTTTTCCTGTTAGACCTTTACGATACACATCCATATATCTAAAAGACTTCCAAGCATATCGCCTAATTTCAGTAAGAGATACTGATTCAAGGGCTTGTGGCACAGTTTTTTTCAAACCTTCCCATGTGTAGTTACAGTGATTTCGTGCATATCGCTTTGCTGACCCCCAAAAATTTTCTATATAATTTAACTCACAATGGAATTTTGGATAAAAAATAACTTCATGACCTGCGGAAATAATCATTTCTTCAATTTTTCCACGTTGTGCTCTAAAATCTGGTTGGTTCGCCATTGTTGTTCTAGCGCAGCAGTCAGTTACTCCTTGTTCACACCCCCCTTTACATTTCAATTTCATTCCATCACGCCACAATCCTCTCTCACTCAATACCTGCCTCAGACCTTTCGGTTTACCACACAGATCAGAATCTTCATAATCTTCAGGAAAGCACATATCTTGCGGAATATTATCTCCATACATAGTACTTCTAAATTTTTGAGGATATTAAATGTTAATATATTGCTATAGAAATTTAAAGTACTTGTAATAATGTACAAACCTCATTTTTGGTTGTTTTCCGCCAGAGGATAAATTCATGTTCTTTGCTAAAAGGGCATCTTCGGCATATGCACAATGACCAGTTGCATTATCAAATGCAAAAAGAGCCTTTGCACCTGGAAACCGAGCTTCAAATATTGGGATTGCACAGGTTATTACCTGATCCACAAGATCATCCAAGTTCCACCATCTATCACCATCTTTACCTGGGTAAGTTATAACACACGCTTCTGATGGAAGGTTAGGAAAAGCGATCTAAAAAAAAGATTTCTTTCACTTGGAATTTTTATTTATAAAAAAAAATAAAATAAAGCTTAAAAGTTATATAATATACCTTATCCTCCTCACGTAATGCTAAACGCCCACCAATATCTGTGAGAAATTCACTTATATGAACTGACCGCCCTTGGCCTTTTTTGCGAAGTGGTTGCTCCCCTTTTGGCAACCACAACCAACGTCTTCCATCGTAAGCTGAAAAAATACACTCATCGTGTGTTACCAAAATGATAATATCATTAGAATCTGGTCTAGTTTCTTCTTCCATGTTTTCACCAGAAAAAACCACCATACATGCTTCGAATTCCGCCATTCTTTCCAAAAATCTTTCACAATAAGCCACTACATCCGCACGCTCGTGCCCATCCATATACATTCCTTTTCTAACTTCTGAGTACTCAAACCCAAATATTTTTAGCCAGTTTTTGGCTGTTCTTATGCATATTGTTGGTGATGGATCGAAACAAAGATTCGGAAGTATTGTTTCATTTACATGGTTTGCCAATTCATCTGGATTAACATTCCACTTATTTGATCGGAGAAATGACTTAATCTGAATTAAAA